ATGTACGAAATGCAACCTATCTCCACCACTCCTGGTGAGTGTCTGTGGGGTAGTCCACACCTGATCAAGCTAATTAGACTCAAGCTAACAGTTTTTCAAGTCTCAGTACTGCACTACTCCTTACATTGATCATTAATTTATTATTTTGTTTAATGATTCTACTCTTTCTTACACTTAGTATATTAGTTTCCTGCATAATATATTGAGGTATATTTTTGTTGCGTAGGAGCATTAAAATTGAAATTGATATTTAGTTTTAACTGTTTGACTATCACCATGCCAACTGTTAACTGTCAATTAAAGTAACAAATCACGATAGATTTGGTAATTAAATTGTTTACCTGGAATCTGGAACATTTATCAAAATTGGACAAATTGAATTAATGAAATGAGATAGTGTTATAAATTTGCTTGGATTTTGTGGAGAAATTTGTAATCTATTGCTAATAGCCATAAGAAAATGTTGAAGTGGGACTCAACAATTAATATATAATTGTTGGGTTTCTCTTTTAATTATTAACTTATTGTTAATAATTTTAATGTAATTATTCACTTATTTATCAATTAAATGTTTTCAATGATATAGATTATAATTAATAATAATAATGTAATTTACTCAATAATGTTTCACTTTTATTTAAATTATTCTGCAATTTTAATGTTTTATTCAAATAATGTTATATAATATACTTTTATTTTTAAAATGGTGCAGTGGTTTTGTTTTTGGTTAATTCTATTGTTAGTTAAGCCTTTTTTATGTTAACGTAATTCGTAATTCAGCCTTTTGGCTGCTATTATTTGTGTTTTTATGAATTTTGATTGAATAAATACCATTATTATACTATATAATATAGATGATAATTTTTAAGAAAAACATATTTTTTGATCTGGATTTGAAGCCCAGACCTTGTGATTTTATTGTTTGGATATTCTACCAGTACAGTTAAATATACTGTCTTTTTGTTTGTTTTCATTTATTGTTCTTCATTCCGTAAATTTATTACCATTTTTTTAAAATTTAGGTTTAAAACAAATGCAAGTAATGTCAGATCTGTTACAGAGTAATTTCTGTGGTTTGGCCGAGCCAAACTACCCCCACCTGTTTGATTAAAAAGCATCAAATTAATGATGAAATTTACCATTTAGGCCCTACATGCTAGAATCTCCCAAATCCCACAAGAGCTCTTACCATTGACCCCACCATGGTCCCCTGGACCTCTCGCTCTGTTGATGGAAAACCCCTCCTTTAGGAACCAGGATTTTTTGAGATGCATCATTTTCTGCAAAATTCAAATTGAAATTACGGTAAATGTAATCATTTCAATCAGTCACCTACACCTTTGTGTCATTTCTATATATGCAATTCTATTTTCTATTTCTTTTACACTTACTGTATTATAACCAAGGCACATAAATATAAATTGTAGCAGAAAATATGACATCGTCAACTATATCAAAGATAAAGGTTATAAATGCACATTGTTTTGCCTGGAGGTGGGTTCTAGGGAAGTATTTTCTAAAGATAATGAAACGCGATTAAATGATATAAAATTGAGTAATAAGCGATGCAGAAAGTATAAAAAGCAAATTAGCAAGCTGGCATTGACCAGCAGCTGTGTTATCTGGAACACAAGACACTCGCCTGAGTGGGTGAATTGTCATTATTTGTAATAGTTTCTTCTGCATTTGCATCACGTTTTTTTTTTTGTGTCTGTTTTGTTCCCACCCTGTGCCTAATTAAGCCATGACCTTGGTGTTTTTTTTTTGTCACATTCTTTTATTGTGTTGTTAATATAGAATGATTTTAATTCCTTAATCTTACCTTTTTGGATTATGAATATTATAAATGATATGAACCTGTATGTGAACTTCCCACTGACTGAAATTAAAAAGGAATGTGTCACTATGGAGAATATAAATTAAGTCCTGGATCAAATTCAATGGACACAATCCCCGAGGAAGGAAATATGATACAATGAGAATCTACCTGCTGCATACATTTCTATAATATGATTATTTAGCCAAATATTTTTTCACAATTTTCCTTCCAAACATATCTTGAATGCTTCAAGATTATTTTGATGATATATTTATATTTAATGTCTTTAATATTTCTATATTGCAAATGATTGTCTTTTTGTAAAGTATGTACAACACTTTGTCAGGCCTTGCCTTTGTCGTACTTCCTCCATCTTAATTTGTTTTGTATTATTTTTATTAATGATGGAAAATAAAGATCGATTGATTGATGATAGAATTTTGAACATGACAGGGGCAAATTCAATGATGCTGGTGTTTTTTCAATTAAATTATATATCCATGTATTTTCCCCCAACAGACATACACTCTGTACTGTCCTTTTTCCCTGAAACAATTTGATAATGATAATTACAAGTCAATTGTGACGTCATCACTGCAACTCCCAATGTTATTTGCCTGTCCTCCACAGTCCAATAATTTTCCATTTAGTAGACGCTTGGCTTGATTTTTTTAGGTTCGTGTGAAAATCGAATTGTAATTGAAAATTACTTTCGTAAAACAAGGTTAATAATAATTAGAACCCGAAGAAAGTTACTTCAAATTCATATATTAAGTGTGAACAATTAAAGAATTTCTTGAATCAATGTACCCTAATAAACTAAACATAAGTGAACGTTTACAAAGATTCATTTTACTTCTTTAATAAAAAAGAAACTATTTTTACTATTTACCAACCTGTTTAATATTAGTATATAGGATAGTAAAAAGCAAATAGTAAAAATCCTCATCAAAAAATAATTTCAAATCCAAATGTGAAACTAACAATTTATTTTATATGGCCTTATTTCCTGCGGGGTGATTTTAACACTAAACGAATTTCAGGAACAAAAAGGATCTTCATTGTGGAGAAAAAATGTTATTTGCAAGCCCAGCAAAATTTCACTATAAAAGAATTTTTAAAGAAAAAATGCATGCATTACTCTAATTATTATAACCAATGGAAAAATATGGGCATAAATTTTAGTTTTACACAAAAGAATAAAAAAAAAATGAAAAAAACAGACTATTTCTCATAGGAGATTACCATTTTCTCAATGAATTCTCCGTTACTAGGCAAATTCAGAGGTTGTAGATCGCATCCGCTGGAATGCTTTCACTTTTATGTATACTTTATACAGTCAATAAAGTGCATCCTCTCTAATGAAATTAGTTTTTGTACTTCGTATCTCTCACACTGCGTTCGATCGACTAGACCCGAGATATGTTTGTTTAATTGTCAAAATCTCGGTCAGAATCATTTCTTTAACAGATTTTAAATAATTCCTATGAAATATTATATTTCACAAGCGTCAATACTAGCAACAAAAAATATCATGTTGGCCGTTTTTATGTGTGATAACAGAACGTAAATCAAGGTAAGGCTAGGCCTAGCAGTGTTGGATAGGGTAATGTTTCCGGCGCTTACTATATTTCTTCGCAGACGTATTGCAAAGTCAAACATAAAAAATTCATGTGCATTTATTTATTTTTTGTGTGGAACACAAAAAAAATTAAATTTCAGTCTTATTTTACTTTTTTTTTATGTGTAGGAATGTCTAAATTTAGTTAAACTAGGAATTTCGTATCATATTTATAAATCTTTATAACATATATAAAAATCAGATTTTTCTTAACAACTGAAGTTTTGCCAAGAATGGGGCTTTAACTTTACTTTCAATAAATAAATACTAGAAATGCTAGGGTCTTAATGCCACTAAGTAATCATATACATCATTATGGATCACCCTCACAGCAATTGCTTTGGTTGATATAGTTTAATACAAAGAAATTAAATCAAAGATATTCCAAGCATCTAAACATGATATGATAATTATAATAATACTAAACAAATGTATGTAGTTAGAGATAATAGAGCTTTCTATTTGAATATAAATTATCTTTAGAGGGTGAATTTGATGTAATAGATCTTGGATATAATTTCCTGTGCTTTGTCAGGAAATGTATTGAATAGAGGCAGGTGATAATGATTATTTATAAAGGTTGGAGAAGTGTACTATATGGAAGCATTATGCGGCGCAACAAACCAATGGCTCATGATAATGATTATTTCAAATAAAAATAGGATTTCTAGCCTGTTAGAACACCCGCTGCTGTGAATGAAATAAGATTTTAAAGTTCAGAACTAATTATTTTCTTGCTGACCGCTTCCTCCTTGATTTCCTGATAAGAATATATTTTTTCCTCTTAATTACTGTAAATATAAAGCACAGGTGGACAAATTGCTGCCCCGACAGGGATTTTTTTTGCGGCGTGTGAAAGTGAATTAAAAACCCTATGTGTGTGGCCCACCAAACATTTTTGACTCGAAAATACCTTGTTTTTTACGGCCCAACACCGATTATCTGTAAAAAGTAATGTTGAAACTGGGCATGAAGTGGTATAAAAGCAGTGCATGAAGACCCACTGAAAACAACAAAGTTTGGGTGTGGCCTATGGTGTTAAATCAAAAATTCACTTTGGCCATCCAACCAATTTCTATGTCCACCCGTGATATAAAGCATTTTTCTGTTGAACTACTGAACTGTTTGCATCGCCACAACTCATTCCTTATACAGCAGTGTTATGGGGACATAGAGTGAGGGCCTAAAATCGCGCTCAATCACTTTTTACTTTATCCCCTCCTTTTTTTATATCGATTAATAAATTTTATTCTTATTTTCTCCATCTAAATTTTTACCTCACACACTCCCCTTTTTTATTTTCATTATAATAAGATTTTGTTTATATTTTCTTCTACATTTACTTTGTTTTGTTCAAACCATTTTAGTGTTTCCCTCCCTAAAAATCTTTCAAAAATGAATTTCTAGACAAGTGGAAAAAATGAAATGTTTAAAGGTTTTGGAAGCACAACTGAATGTTCACAAACTCTGGTGTTTTGCTGGTTACATTCCTTGTTAATACTGTAAACAAGAGTATTCTTACATTTTTTTATATTTACTTTTTTTGTGTTTCGTCTGTAGGTCTTGAAGGAGGATGAATTACCACCACTGGATGCAGTGCAAAATCTCCTTCCCGACTCCCATCGGGTCATTTTGGATCCGGATCAAAGGTACCAGGACCATCCAGGCTTAATCCCAACAAGATTACCACCTAAAGACCTTAACGATGATCCACCTCGTGAACCTAAATCCAAGTAAGACTGTAGAAGGGTTAAGAAAGCACAACCATGGTCTGCATGCTGATGTAGAAGCTATTTTAGAATTATGTAATGGTCTTTTCTAAAAAAGAGTTTACCAAGAGTTCATTTGGCAGTTTCCATTCTGTTTCTGCTTAATGCTAGTGTAACCATGTTGTATGTGCATGCAAAGAGTTGGCTGAAGGCAGGGGCAGATCCGGAGATGTCCAAAAGGTGGGACTGAAAGTGAGAGTGATCAAGTTAACGCCACTCTAGGGGGTCCGGGCATGCCCCAGGAAATTTTTGTTTTCTAGACGCCCGAAAAAATAGAGTGGATTTTTAAGGATGAGCAAGGGATTTAATATGAAGGTGGGTGGAGGGCCATGAAATTAGCATTACAATGGGTGGAAAACTTCAAGGGTGGGTGTGGCCCCACCCACAGTAACTACATCCTTACATGCATTGCTGATGTGGAAACTATTGTGCTGCTGTAAGAGGCGGTGTCATGTGATTACGACTGTTAATCCTTCATTTTAAAAGGGCTCTACACTTCATTAAGATTAAATAAAGTACATTTTGTTGTAACATTCCAGGTCTTTATCAACATTGGGTTTTGTTTGTACTCATAAATTGGAGGCATGTTTCCAATTATTACTGAAAGAATTAATTGAACAATTAATTTGAAGGCTGTTCTATCGATTTTGTCTTCATCTTAAGAAGTTTATAATAAGCTAATGTAAAATTATCAATGAAACTTGAAATATTACCATCCATACTAATACAGAATTGCTTTGATAACACTTTTCATAATATCATTCCACAGCAAGAGTGCAAAATGTAGATTGAAATCTCCATACTCATTAATTTTTAGCATCGATCAATAATGTTTGTTAGCCGTCAATTTATCTAAATAAATTTGCTAATCTACAGGTCTCGTCAAACACCTCCAGACCGATACGCAATAACTCTGCTAGATCATCAACAGAGGGAGCTAGACAACTATAAAACAGCCATGAAGGTTTGTTAGTGCATCTATTATACTGATGAAAATGATGATGATTACAGTATTACTTACTTCTACTCTAATAATAATTATAATGATGGATATATTAATGATAAATAAAAATGATATTAATAAATAGTAATTACAATGTTAATCACACTGTTTTTTCTGGGTGTTTGGAAGGTGATTGCAGATTAATAATGGAAATTTCCGTCAAACTCCGCCCCTTGGATATTGTAATACTAAGCTCCCGTATATCAACAGTGTTATAACTTTTTGCAAACGTGTGTATTTGTGATACACGAACATATTCCTGAATATTTAATATTTTGAATATTTAAGAACTGGGGGAAAAGGTGGTTATGCCCCTTTTTCCCTCAGTTTTTAAATATTCAAAAATATGTGTCTCGTTAACCGTTAAAGCATGGAGGTATTGTTCACTATAATACCTCCATGGTTAAAGAGTTTTTCGTCAAAATATGCTTTTTGTGTCTTAGAAAAATCACTTGTACAACATATTAACATTTTTCCCCTACAGAGCCTTGCTTTAATTTATTACATTTACTTTTTTTCTCAATTTTTTATACTACAGTACTGTACTTAATCATTTTTTATGTTTGAATATTTTTTTCTGAAATCATGTAAGAGAAACTAAACCTAAGTTATTGTTTAATTGCTTCAGCGAATGGGTGATGAGATTGTGAAGTTACAGGAGGAGATAACAAGACTGGAGGTTGTGAACAGTAAGCTGCGTCAGCAGATCAACATGCACGAGGACACAACGAGGGCTCTGCTAAGAGATTCAGAACTTACAGACATTCCAAGGAATGAGTTGGTTCAACGATATGGTAGGTCACAAAAACCGGAAGGTCCACTGATTAATTTCAGATAAGATATTATAATACATACTCCAAGTATAGAAATGCACGCCATCGCGTCAGGATTCAATATTTCGACATTACTTATGTCATCATTCGACGATGACATAATTAATGTAGAAATATTGAATCCCGACACGATGGTGTGCATGTCATTACTTGGAGTAGATTCACAAGCTTCTTAATTATCTTGCCAGGGTTGTATCTGTAAAAAACTGAGGTTGGTTGGAAACAATTTAAAGGTGGGTGATAATATTGGTAAACACTAAACAGTAAGAGTGGATTGTAAGGATGGGCAAGGAGGTAAATAAAGGTGGGTGGATGGCCCTGCCCACAATAACTACATCCCTGCTTGTTAAAATGTCAGTCCCATTTTTTTTTACATATCATATTTTGGTCTCCTTGGTTTCAAAAATATTGATTGATTATATTATTTGACTGATTGATTGCTTGTCAATCAATTGATTGATGAATAATTTTTGAGAGATAGATATTATTGGTTACTGAGTAGACTAGCTAACAACAGAGATGTAAGAGACAAGAATATTGACATCATTCACATAGTAGTAGATGAAAAAGTAATTTGATAGATTGGTTGGTTGATTGCCTATTTGCTGGGTTGAATGGTTTGTTGGTTGCTGATCTGATTGATGTATTGATTGAATATTTTATTGTCAGCTATTGACTATCTTTCAATAAGCCAGCTCGTTTTTTTTATGGGCTACCATCATGAAAGAATGTTGGACAAATATTTAAATCAATTTACAAGTAAAGTTATAGTTTTATTTATCATAGTATTTCTTTTTTTTTATTACTTCCCAAAAATACCAGATTAAATATAATATCTTTGACATTATTTTGAATTTTTTTTCTCTATGAAGCATCTCTGAGGGATAAATTATCAAGTCAAGTAAGAGAAGCCACATCTTACAGGGACAAGCTACTGCAACTACAGAATGAACTAATTAGGGTAAGCAGTTATATTGTGAAGTGTGGTTGAGGTGTCTAGTCAGTTAAGTTGAATTAAGTGGGAAGCTTAACTGAATCCTCACTATTGGGGTTTAGAGTGTGGTGTTAATTATGTTTAAGAGAAATTACTGTCATTGACAGGACTGAACACCTTGACTGCCAAGCCTTTTTCCTAGTTCCATCACAATACGTCGATGCATGTAGGGCACCACCGTAATGAAAACCATTCCCATCTGTAATCAAACATGAACAACCATGGTATTTATTTTTAGATCATTACTTCCGCGTTCTTCCATGAAGCTCCAAGGTGAGAGTTTGTGTTCTGCCAGCGAGTGCATGTGCAATACAATTGTGATATGCTGGGACAGGTGTGGACATGAACTCACCTCCTTGATGCCTAAGTAGACCCTGTCAGACTTGACTCGCGTCCAAGGCAGTGAACATGTTGAACCCAGGTTCTTCACATTGATGGACAAACATTTGAACTAAACTATTTGGCGAATTAAGTAGCCGAGCAGTAAGGCAAGGGTACAGCTAACTACAGCCTTAACATCGGCGTTGGTTCCAGCCACTCTTCATGGTTCGGTTGGTAGAATCAAGTCTTCTCGGAAGGATTTTAATTGAGGTCCAGTGTACACATCTGGCTAGCGTGCACTTTAAAGAAACCAATGCATCTTTCTGAATAGTAAGGGGTTACCCCGATGCTATAGTTCATTTCAGCCCCTGTCGTCGTGGAATGATGTGAACGTGTAGCTACTATATAAGTGCCTCTTTACGACCAGTAGGTAGTCACAGACCACGCCCATATGCAATTCAGCACAATAATGCTGCGAGTTATGTGTTATTCTCCTACCTTTATATTAAAGTTCTGTAATCGTTCTCGGATGTCAAGTACTGTTAATAAATTAATAGTATGTAATTTTATTTGTTATTTCAACAGCATAATGACAGAGAAAAGGAGTTTATAAATCTTCAAGAGGCCCACTTCAAACAGTCAGCCATTTTACAGAGATTTCAAGAAAAGCAGCAGAAAATTAAGAAATTGGAAGAAACTTGTCGTAAGCAGGAAGAAGTGATTGAGAAGATGGAGAAGTTACTAAAGGGAAAAATTAGAAAAGGAAAAGATGAAGGTAGACAAATTAAATTAATTGTTTGTGTGCATCAAACAAGTTTTCATTAAAAAACATAAAACACAACTGTTTTTGCATTCAATTCATTTTGACAACATTGAAGAGGAATTCTTCCATTGTCAAATCATACATGAATTTAATTGCTTATTAGATTTTAAGATTTTATGTTTGCGAGATCAGTCTAATTGTAGATAAAACTGAAACGATATGCACAGTATTAGGACTTATTTTCTTTAAGTTTGTCAGAGGAGGGTGGAAAAAAAAATAAAACTACAATTTTGTTTTCTAATTTAGCAAATGCTTTAGCCAAAAATATCCAGACGGAGGAGAAAATAAAAGTAAAATTTTACTGTTGAATGTAAACAGTAATAATAATAATAATAATATTAATAACAAACATTTTCAATACACCAATTCAAATGTTTATCAAAGGTGCAGTGGACTAGATGTTGCACTTTTCAATAACTTTCTTCTCCGCTGAGGATCACTTTATGCCATCTGCAGCTGGTAAACCGACGCACTTTCATATGTCCACGAATTAATTGTAATAATGGGATGGTTAAATGCTTTAAATTTATATAACTATGAAGAAATATACACACCTTATTTTTGGAGATTTCAAGGCTGTGGCAGGCGGGATAAAAATTTTAATAAACTTTGATTTTCTTTCCTGAAATTTGAATTTTTTGTGGCAGCGGGTGCGCTAATTGGCCGAAAAGAAAAATTTTATTTTTATTAAAAATCATCGTTATTGGAGGCGGCGGGTTTCGCCGATCATGCGCTTTAAAGATGTATTGTCCCTTGCTAACATCAAAAAATAATGAAAAATAATTTTGAAATGAACTTGCTCATATTTCAATAGCATACAAATTATTAACTTGTGCATAAAAATTATTGAATTTAAAAAATGTGTACCCTGATTTTTAAACCAAAGAAATTATAATAAAACACTTCCAGTGACTGGAAGTGTTTCTATCATTTCTCACTGTAAACTGATGGATAGACATTTTTTAAATACACTAATTTCTATGTTCAAGTTGATAACTTTTAAGTCACTTCAAAATGGGTAAGTTAATTTCAAAAAACTATTTTTATGAATTTTTTTTGGTATTTAGCATGGGACAATACATTTTTAATCAATTAATATTTCAGCCATCCAGGTGGGTCACAAGAAAAGTAGTGTTGAGAATTGAAACAATGACCAAGATCTCCACAGTTTAGTGCACACATATTGGCTCTTACCAATTTAGCTGACTGAGCTAAGCTACTTTCAATTACCCTAATGCAGTTCTTTAAGATTTTGTGATGAGACTTCACACATTTCACATCTTTTAATTTTTTGTTTCAGCAACTCCTAAGTTAGATGCCAAAGAGGCTTTTTTAGCAGAAAATTCACGTTTGAGGTCAGAGATCAATCAGATGAAAAATAAATCACAAATTAAAGTAAGTTCAAGATTTATTATAATTATATTCTCTTGAAAATGTGCTTCAGGCTTGTTAGTAATGAACTTTTTTTATTAAAAGGAATTTTGAAAGCAGTCCTTACGTATATTTTTCCATTTTTTGTACATTGCATGGAAATATTTACATAATATGTAAGTAATTAGTATTTGTGGCAAAGACAAGCCAAACCAGTCTCTTGTCACAAAAATCAAATTTTGAATAATACATGGTTAAACAGGAAAACGAGAGCTACAAAATGTTTAAAAATCATTTAAATCTGACATTTTGTTATGAAGTTACAGGAGTTAAAACATACAGATCTTTAAAGAACAATATTTGAGAATATCAGCTTTTGAAGTTTATGATTTTGGGCATTTCTCAGGCAGAAACCATCACCAAATCGTTAAAAATTGTTGTTTGTGACTGGTCTGGCTTGCCTTTGCCACATTTTAATTACTGTATTTATTCAAATACACAACCAGCTTTGAATAAACGCCCCTCCCCCCTCAAATAACTCTCAAATCATTCTATTAATGTTTTACTCCAGTAGAATTACATTTTTTCTAACCTGGTTAGGATCCATAAGTCTTTATGATCACGCAATAACACATTTTAGTGTTAATTATGATGTGTTGTTCAACGTTTATAGTAAAATTAAGGGGTGTTTATTTGAGTATATACAGTACGTATCCATTTGACGCAAGCGATTTGCACAGCGAGAATTTCGAACCCCCGACCTCGAGGTTTGGAGTCCAAGCCACAACCGATGCGGCAACCACTTCTAAACACTTCCCTCGAATCAATGCCTCCCTTGAATAAACGCTTCCTCGAAAACCCGTCCCAACAATAAATGTCCTAGGGCGTTCATTTGACATGATTGCTTTTTTTTTTCTAGGAAGTGTCATTTGATGATGCTGAGCGAATGGAGCTGTATAGTAAACTCGATAGATCTGATGGTCGCATACGAACTTTGGAAAGAGCCGTGAGTCTTACATATTTCATCATCACCACATCAGTAATGATGAGTATAGAAATTCAGCAAACATTACTAAATTTAAAAAAAAAAACATTCTAATCTAACTTTTGATATTGTTATTGTATTATATCGTATTTTTTTTATTAATTTTCACTTAGATAAGTACTATTAATTTGTCAATTAATAATTTTTGTTTATGGTTCAGTATTTCATATTTTGTATTTTTATATTTTACCACTTATGGTCTTGCACGGCTTTGATGAAAAACACCTTTAGGTGATCGAGTTCTCCGTGTCAAAATAAAGTAGTTATTATTATTATTATTATCAACTTCCTCATTCCTTTAAAATTGTATGCCAGTTTCATACTCACAGACTACTACGACATGTTTTTATGTTTGGTGAGTCGAGTGGTAAGGCAGGGTGGCCGCTAACTACAGCCTTAACATTGGTTTTGGTTCGAACCCTCTCAGATTAGGACTTAAAGTGGAGGTCCAGTGCACACATCTGGCTTGTGTGCACTTTAACGTACCCATTGCATCTTTCGGAAGAGTAAGGGTTAACCCCGGTGCTATGGTTCATTTCAGCCCCTGTCGTGGAATGTTGTGAACATGAAGCTACTATAGTACCTCCTTACAGCAGCTATGTAGTCACAAGCCACGCCCATACGCAATTCAGCACAATGTCGCTCCGAGTTACAAGTTGTTCTCCTACCTTTACCTTTAAATATAATTGTCATAAACCTCTTCTTTGCTCGTTTTTAAAGGTACGTGAAAATGCGCGGAAATGGGGGCAAGAAAAGGAAGAGCTTTTGTTACGATTGAATGAGCAAAATCACCGGGCTTCTTTACCACCAGTAAATAGAAGCTACTATAGATATGTAAGTAAAATTCAAGTAGGTTCACATTTATAATGATAGGTATTATATACCTATCACTTGATGAGGTGTTTCTCCGTACCAAAGTTACTGTCCTAGGGAGTTTAGTAGATTGTTTCTTTTTATGATTCTTTTATGTTAATAGGGTTAATAGGGTTAAGAAAGTATAATACATACTCCAAGTATTGAAATTCATGCCATCTTGTTGGGATTCAATATTTCAATATTAATTATATCATCGACAGGATGTATGTATTATAATTTCTTATCTCAGATTAATTTGAGGATCTTTCGGTTTAATAATGTTAGTTGTATATTTTATGTTTTTTTAAGATAAGCATGTATCACTATGATTAGTAATATGACAATTATAACTCAGTAATGTATTGTTTGTTTCAATTTTTTTACCCAATTTCAGGATGATGAAGATGACTTTGAGGACAGAGTATTCCCAAAACATCGGACAAGATTAAGACCTAGAGGTAGATATGGTTCACCTCACTTAGAACCTTTGATGTAAAAGTATCATTCAACATCAGCTGAGTAATGCAGTACCGACATCCAACTGAAAAACAAGCAGCATTAGCTCGAGGTCATCACTGTTGATTTTGGTTGTGGAGTTCTGAACATGAATTCATTATGAGTGTTCCTTTTGGAGGGAGCAAGCAAGTTATTGAGGTCTCCACATGGTCCAGGAATCACCACTTCTGGCTTCTGGTGAAGGATCTCTGAAAGTGATTAATCCAGTCAAGTTTTGATTTCATTGAAACAAAATTATTGTCATCGGATAAATAATGTGCATGGTCTAAAAGTCATTACTTCTGGGTTCTGGTGAGATTTTGAATGTGATAAATTCTGCTAAGAGTTTCTTTCAAACAAAGAAAAGTATGGATGGTTGACACAAACTCTATCTGGTCTTGATGTTGATTAATAATTTTAACATCAGGGTGTAATACATCCAGTCCAGATTGATACTTTTGGCTTCAGGCCAGTCAAGTTTTTTTCTTTCAGTAGAGAAAATCTATTGATATCTGAGACATAATTCACATGTTGTCCACTTTTGGTTTCATTTTGGGTTTTTTAAACGTATTTAACAAGGGTGCTAATCCAGTACAACTGATAATTTGGATTCCTCAATTCTCTACAATAGTCTCATAAGGATTTTAAAGTAGAGAACTGAATATTTAGGACTTTGATCCATGCAATCAAGTAATATGAGATATCTGTACTGACAAAAAGATTAAAACACTCAAAAATCAGAAGAGGAACATAACCACACACAGCACACTGTTTCAACATGAAGGTATTATTAGGCCAAAAAAAAATAAATTGTTTGTTTGCCCTCCTCCACCCGCCTCTAACTCACTAAAAAAAAAATCGGGGCGGAAAAATTTAAAAAAAACTTTAAGAAAGTTTTTTTTTTTTCCTTACGAAAGATAGGTAAAATAAGATGCAAATACTCTTCGAGGTGGCTCGAACAAAGGAACGGGAAACACATTTGCCCTGCCACAGTCGACCAGGTGCTCAGGAGTTGTAATCGAGACAGTGGCCCCAAAAATAAATGCCGGCCTGTGAGAGACGGGGAAAAAGCAGTTATTGAATTTATTCAAAGATGTGTATAAGAGACAGACACAGCACACTGTTTCAACATGAAGGTATTATTAGGCCAAAAAAAAATAAATTGTTTGTTTGCCCTCCTCCACCCGCCTCTAACTCACTAAAAAAAAAAATAGGGGCGGAAAAATTAAAAAAAACTTTAAGGAAGTTTTTTTTTTTTTCCTTACAAATTAAAAAAAATGTGAGTGAATTTATCTTTATTTTTTGCCAGATTCCCTACAAATTAGTCTAAAGTTATTGTCTAATGTAAGATATTGCCATTCTAGACCTCTGAGGGTTATTTTTATTCCATCTGATGAGTATTTTTTTTTAATAAATAAATTTTTAAAAAAACTTTTCCACCCACCCATATTTATCATTTTTGTTTGGTCTTATTATACCTTCATGGTTTTACCAACCTTTCAAAACGCCAGGCAGCAAAAGATATCACTAGTGTCGTAGAGTAATGATGGAGCTCCATGCAATTAGTATCGGGCCCTGTACAATAGAATTCTATATTACCTTATACAGTAGTTGGCCTACAGCACACGTTTCTGGGGACACGTGTTATATACAAGTAGACATTCATAGGCCTACACCGGTTCCAATAAGTCCAAGTAAAAATAATGTGATGTATATACACTAAGAACAGCTGCAGAGCACTAATATATAATGTCAGCATTAGAAAGCACCAACCAACCACTGAAATATTAATCAAAAGATTATGCTTCCATCATTGTTTTACTTTTAAGTGCCGTAAATGCTCAAATAAGCACCGCTCTCGAATATAGCGCCACACCAAACATGACTTTTTTCGTTAAGCGCCACAGAGCTTAATCGAGAATATATATCACCCTATGTGTAATGAGACACTTTGTGAAACAAGGTTTTAAATAGAATGTATACAGTGTTACAATGAATAAATTTCTTTATAAAAGTTTATTTACGATGATGTAGGACCTATGATAGGCCTACCTAACTACGGGAATACGTGAACTCACCTTTTTAACTTGTGTTTTTCTTAATTTTTTTTTTTTCCCCGAATTTTATTTTTACTGTTAAGCGCATTGAGGCTTTAGCATAATGCGCTATATAAGCCAAAATTATTATTATTATTAACTAGGTAACATGAAAGTGGGCACGGAAAGCACCAAGCAATATTTTTTTATAAGCGTCGCTCTGAAATATGTGCCACTCTCGAATAAGCACCGCACTGGAGCCTCCAGAAATTTGATAAGCGCCGCGGCGCTTATTTTGAGCATTTACGGTAAATCTGTTTCTAAGCAAAGATTTGTGTTTTGCATAGATTTTTACCAAGGAGCTTTAATAATCATATTATACTTATATAATTATATTCGACTTGTGTACAAAATTATATACATGATATATTTATTGATAATCTATTCATGTAAATTTTATTTCCACGTATGTAACTGTATTTATACTATAGTAATTTTTATCATTAAATTAAACTGTAAAATGTATTATCAAAATCAATTAAGATATCTCTAATTTCGTGTTTTGCAAGGTTTTTTTTTTCTCCATTAAAAATTATAATACATTACATTCATTCGTCTTTTGAAAAGAGCATCTAGCAGGGGGTGGATCCATCGGGGATGAGGGCCCACACCCTCCGCTGTCAGTCAAGCCGAAAAATAAAAAGAGGGTGACAAATTTGAGTTAAAAAGAGCTAAAAAAGGAGGCACCCATGAGTTCAGTGGCGATACAGTAGTGGGTGAAAGGAGAGCTCGATTATTTACCATTTATTAGTGGGGCTGAGGTGGATCCGCCCCTGTCTAGCTCAGTTGGCCCAACTGGTGATAGTCACTGTGTTTGCGCTGAACCATGGAGATCTCTTTCGGCTGGAGGCCTGAAATGCAAGTTATGATAGTGCACCGTATTTCAGATGAGATAATAGTAATAATAATAACGTCATTTTGTTAGGCGCACGTATCCATCCCTAGTAGGGGTGCTCGCGGCGCCGTTTTCCACCTGCCGAGTGTACATGTAGCCATTTTCCGCATTATAATGTGAAATTAATTAATTTTAATTATTTATTTAATCATAATGTATATTTATTTGTGTCGGACAAGACATGGATGGGAAAGATAGGTAAAATAAGATGCAAATACTCTTCGAGGTGGCTCGAACAAAGGAACGGGAAACACATTTGCCCTGCCACAGTCGACCAGGTGCTCAGGAGTTGTAATCGAGACAGTGGCCCCAAAAATAAATGCCGGCCTGTGAGAGACGGGGAAAAAGCAGTTATTGAATTTATTCAAAATGGGAAATAAAAAGAAAAGATTTAAGTTCAGACTTAAGCCGATTATCCCATATGCATTAATGGCCCATGTGCATGTTAAAGAGTGCTGTACACTCTTCGGAAAAGAGTAGGAGATTGTCTCCCGGTGTACTTCCCAATCGCCATCAGAAGCAACCTACTGGATGTAAGTTTTCTACAGATTTTCGAGGGTTATCCAAAGGTATTTACACTTAATAGATCCATCCATCCATTTTTTTTAAAGATATACGGTCCGAGTTGAGATAAAGGACAGAAGAATGTATTTTGCAAATTGAAATTTAAATATTGTCTGCTTTAACGTACGCTACATCCACGGGACCACCGATGTTCTTTAGCAACTTAGGCCTTTTAGCTGAAATACATGATTATTTTTAGAGACTCAACAACAGTGTTCTTTATCAGAACTATCGCCGTCGTGTACCGGAAGTATTTATTATTTTTATTTTTCTTATTGTTATAAAGACCCATAATGTGTTTTAGTTTATGTTTACTTGGGTGTATGTTCAATAGGAACTACTGCATGTCATATTATGAGATAATAAATTATTATTATCATAGCGTTGCGAGGAAGTCGATAACAATCGATTACGGACACGTTTGAGAATGTTCGCATTATTGTATAGCGTGACTTCGAATGAAGAGTGCCCGGTTAATCATTCTCTAGACGTCACAAATAATAACGCCTCTGTTTACTTAACGCCAATCAACCGATGTGACGATTATAAATTGCTTGAAATCTTCTATGCTCCTACTCGATAGGATACGAAATATTGGTACCCCGAGAGCAGGGGCTGACAAAAAAAAATTGTAAGGCTACCATACACAAATTATTTTCCATAATGATATGTTCCCGTTCTTTAGATGTCACAATAATAACGTCTTTGTATCTGCAAAGAAAGGCGCTATATAAATATATGAATATGAACGCCAATCAACTGATGTGACTATTATAAATTACTGGCAATTTGCCTCTCAATTGACACTAACTTGGTAGACCAAAAGAACAGCAGGGGAGGGGGGGTGGGGCTAACAAAAAAAAATGTAGGCCGCCCATACAAAATTATTTTCCATAATTAATGTGTTCCCGTTCTTTCTGTTGGTTGTTTTTAGTTGGCCTACTAGTTACATTGTTGTATATGATATGGAAAAGCTGGGAGCTACTTAACTTACTAATGTATGTCACTATTCATAAAGATTTAAATACTCCAAACTTCACATAACCTACCTTAATATTATCCAGCAAATACAATTACGCCTACGGTTTTATTTCTCGTGCTTCACAATGACGCAAATGTGATATTAAAAAAGGAACTTGATGTTCGAAGTACACCTCTATAATAAAATGCACGTAGACATAATACAAGATCAGTCAGTAGACAATATTTGGGATATTTTTAGAAATCATTAATCTTAGCAATAGACTCATTCGTCTTAATCTTAGCAAGTATTGATAAACACTTTAGACATAATCTGAAATATGTATATAAACGAAATTCAGTGCCTTTGAGAAAAGACACACAGCGTGCAGTGGTGTAGCTACAGGCTCCCCACCCCACTAAAAATTTGCTGCGCAAAACTGGGGGAGAAGATGCAGAGGGAGGGGGTGCAGACGGTGCGATCGCACCCACTAAATTGTATTTAAGAAAAAATTTGTTGTATTGTTGATATATTATTTTTATTATTATGAACATAGTACCGGTATGATTTTTAAATATGAGAGTGCAAGTTCCGGGCACCTAGTGGTCAATTCTCAAAGTTTTCTCACCTCATAACCACACTCGGTGGGGAGGGGGGTGAGGTGATATGCACTTTCCTGCACCCTCTATAGCCACCAAATCCTCCATCCGCCCCAGGCAAAACAAATTACTCAAATAGCCAAACATCAGTTTAATTTATTTTATTTTGCTAGCTAGCTCCCCGGCCCTCACTTAATCATAGATCCCCAACCCCCACTTAACCTTTTGCGCCTCCCCATCAGCTCCCCATGCCAATATGCCAATGTTTCAAACCTACAGTCCTGTTTGTGTATACATAGACATTTACTAAACTCACAGCAACAGTACCGTAAACATTAGACACCCATTCTGAATTCTCTTTGCCGTGCTTAACGATTTTAATATTATACACATAGGCCTACTATGTGATATTAAGCTTGTTTAGAAATACCTTAGTCTGTATAATAATAACAAGAATCATTATTTTGGGAGAACAAAAGTATTGTTCGATTTTATTGCTAAATGGAATGTGTTTGGTTCAGATTTTTTTTCTTAATTTTATAGGCATTTAGCTAAAGACGTGTTGTGTATTATACATATAATAATAATAATAATAATAATAATAATAATAGTAATAGTAATAATAATAATAATAATAATACTATTAATAATAATAATAACAATAACAATAATAAAATATTTTTTGAAGGTTTGCATGGCGAAATTCCAAAACAGGGAAATACTTGTATGTTTGGGTAGTGAGACTTGCTGCTGATTGGTGGAAAACTAAGCAATAACTGAGACTATCTGCAGATATTATTCTCATGAAGACGATTGAAGCAACTCAGTCGAAACGTCGAGACTTTCTCAACCAGCAACAGTTCTTTTCAGAACTATCTACGACACTACGCGGTGTACCGCAAGCATTAATATATAATAATAATAATAATAATAATAATAATAATAATATATTATTATTAATAGGCATATTACTACTGCTACTATATACTACTACTATTGTATTAATAATACAGTATATTTATTATTGTTGTTACAATATGTATTATGATAAACATGTATTTACATGCAGTCTATAAACTGCTTTAAGTGCCCTTAACTTTTCATTAGGCACATATCAAGATAGGACACGTTTTATGTTGGATACCGCAATTTCAAATTGAAGTTTAGCATACACAAGTCAAGTGGCAAAGTATATTTTATACCTAATAAACACGGAGTGTCGCTCCCACCATGATTAATTGTATAGCGTGTAGAGTCTATGATAATAATGTTTGCAGTCGTTTGTCCTTGCTAACTACCGTCAAGAACCTGAAATATAAAATGTATTCATAACTATATCAAAAATATATAATTTATAGTAGCAGTTCATTATAATTTGAAATCTAGGTTGTTTATTGAAAGTTTCATAATCATTATCATCATAATCATCATCAGATGACCATCATCTTCATCATTATCATCATCATCTTCATCATCATCATCATAATATTCATCATCGTCGGGGTCTTCGTTGCCGACATTATTTATTTATTATTATTTTATTATTATGATTATTATTAACATTAGGTCCTATTATTTAAATATTAGTATATTATTATACCTTAGGCCTTATATTATATTGCCATTAGGTTCTAATATTTAAATATTAGTATGTTATAATAATTTAGGCTAAAATTATAATTATAAATATTATATAATAATCCTATTATTATTATTACTGTGCAACTAAGCCTGCTACTATTATTATTATTGTCATTATTATTATTATATTGCCATACATAATTATATACTCACGGTATTATTTATACCTATTGTTATTTTTATCTATTATTATTATTATTATTATTATTATGCATATTTCATGTAGAAGTTCCCACCTTCAATTAGTATTGTGCCGTATCATTAATGATTCAAAAATAGTACAACACAAAGCCTATATCCATATGCTGAGGCCATTCACCAACCATTCTCGGAATATTGTAGTCTTCTTTATTAACCGAACAAGCACCAACATTTGTCATACTTCGTACTAGTCGGTTATTAGACAATAATCATCTACAGCCTGATTGAAACAGACCTTGGACCCTCTTTTCATCGTTTAACTTAAACATGAATTTTCGCTTAACAGACGACATTAAACCTGTCACTTTCTTTTCCTTGTGAAAGCTACCGTACGCTGCATTACCGTAATAATTATACCGCCCAAAGCTATTAAAAAACGCGAAACTCCGCATCTTATCGTATATTGTTTGTTGTCTCAATGTATAGATTTAGTCGCAGGATAAAGGTGCATGTAAACATTCTACCAAACCGCTTTAGCCGTGCATCGAAGAGCAGGCATACTTAACGATCAATATATTGAGTCAGGAGTCAGGAACAAAATCATATCACTTTAGTACCGACAGGTGAATGATAAGACAGGGAAGTCAGAGGCCTGGATAAATCGAACTTTTATAGTCTGTTCGCGCACATGATCAATTTCCGAAGTACGCCTTGTTTTTTTTTGAGAAGTTTTAGAGAATTACTTCAATTGAAATATATATATATTAATGCGATTCTCAAACTTTGGTATATGTAAGTACGAAGTAATTTAATCGGCTAGTTGATGCCTCTTTAATATTATTTCTTTCGTTGTCTATGTAACTTTACATGGAATGAATTATTCAATGGAGTCATGCTTACTCTATTCAAATAAGACTAAATTTTACAAGCCTTTGTTACGAATTAATTAATTCCAACTTTGGTATAGACCTATGTAAGTATAAAGTAATTTAATCGGCTATTTGATGCTTCTGTAATATTATTTCTTTCATTTTCTATGTAACATGGAATGAATTATTCTATGTATGCTTTCTCTATTCCACAAAGACTGAATTTTACAAGCCATTGTTACGGATTAATCAATTCCGAACTGGTCTAAATTAATACAAGTAGTATCATCGGTGGCCATTTTTACTTAGGCCTATGTTGTTTTCATTTCTCATAATAAGGGCACATAGAAAAAATATTTAGATTATCACTCCCACCCGCGTCAAGAATTTGGGAAATATTGATGCGAAAATTTAAAAAAAGTTTTTTGCCACTTCATTTATTTTAACAGCTTAAAAAAACAATGCAATTTCGTGACTGGAAATACATAAAAATAAACCAGTTTATAAACAATACTTACAATATTCTTGCCAATTAAAAACAGTCCCTCCCTTATCAATAAAAAAGCAATATTTTATTGTTCCGATTAAAAAAAAAAAACCGCCCGCAGTCATCATTTTTTTTAAATAAAGAGTGATAATCTAATAATGTTTTACACGGTATGTGCCCTAAGTCATTTTCTTGTGACTTAACTCAAGTGTCTTCTTGTAATTCTTACAAATCATAATTCGATCTATTAAATTAAAACAGATAATTGTTGTTATTGAGTAGAAATAAACCTATCCCATAATGATTCTTAAGCAAAATTTATTGGTATTCTTATAGTTAGGTCTATTGTGATTCGTGGTTATGCAGTTCGCCGTCCAACCTTTTCAATTCAGGCGATGATAATAGTAATACTACATCTTTTTTTCTGCACATCGTTTTAAAAATGTGTGTAAAAAAAATGTTTCAGATTCAGATTCAATTTTATTTGTCCAATATGGAAATAGCTGTGAATACATATAAAGGAAATAACCTATTTAAGTAATGATTAAAATAATTTCGAATAATATTGAAAGTTGTTGAAGTAATACGTACTAATACAATAGGTCAGGTCGGAGCAATATTAGAATTTAAAAATGTACAATCGCAATTATGACTATTATCAACAGAAATACTGATAACATTCAAATTAATATTAATATAGTTTATTTTTTAACGCCCTCTGCTCCCCCTGTCTCTTATACACATCTAGATGTGTATAAGAAGGCACATTAGACCCTTGAATGAATGTGACTTGTATCGATGTGGCGAGTGAATTAATTAGATCCGTCATCTTCAACGTGTGATATTTAATAATTTGTTTTCTCTCTTGAAATTTTCCAGGTATTAAATTATGTCATAAATGATGAAGTGATTAATCGGTTCAAAGTCATGTTGGCTGGCGAGTTAATGTGAATTATAGAGCAGACGTTGATCTTTCGCTCGGTCGCCAAACATGGCGAGTTTTTCTCTGCAACTGGGAGAGTTGGATGACACAGGAACGATGCAAAATCTGCAGACGACTGTATCAAATAAAGACTTTATGGCGGGAAGTGAAGATGGTTCAGGGCTGAGTTGGGAAGAAGAATTCGATGAATTTAGTGAGGAGGAGGAGGAAGAGGAGGAAGACGAAGTTGAATTTCAACCAAATATCAGTCAACAATTATTGAATTTTGTTGATATAGTAAATAAGGATATTCAAAAGTATTTTGGCAAAAGAAAATACCTAGACGATGTTAACGAGGACGATAAACGTCGTAAGAATAAGAAATCCGGTCGTGAACTGTACTATGCGGATCTTTTACGAATAGCCAAAAATGGGGATGTAAACGATCTAGATGAGAATGATCAGAAAAACGACAGCCCCGAAACACTCCACATAATCAATTGGAGAGAAAAGAAACAAAACAATGGCAGATCTTCTCCTTCAAGTCTTGGACCACTTGGCGAGTTATTTAAGACAAGCGAGTCAAAAAACGATATGGTCGTGCGTGGACAGCATTTGAGTAAACAGTTTCATAAACTAGGTTCGGTTGCAGACATTGCACTACCGTGGAAAAAGCGCAAGCTGCCGTTGAGTTTCTTCAAAGAACCAGAGCTAAGGAGGATTGAGAACGGAAAAGATGGTAAACGTAGAATGAACTCTCCTAACAGCTTAGACTTTAGTGATCTATTAGCTCATTGGATTGGAGAAGATAACAGCCCAGACGGCCGCGCAAGCGAGCTCAGTTCGTCATCAACCGATATGTCTTTACAAAGTTTATAGAACATTAAAAAACAAGTGTTTTGTGTGTTAGGCCAACTATAGTGTTTTGTGCATTCGCCTTCGTTCTGTGCATTGTATCCTGTGCATTATTAATATTATGTATGTGTATGATTGTAGGCCTATATTCAAGGCAATGTTTGATGCTTTTTCTCAAGTATATTGTCTGACATACAAAACAATGAAAGCATTCGATCTATTTTGGATAATGTCTGCAGTTAGCATACACTAGGTCTATCAGACAAACTCTGATCCGATTCTCTGTTGTTATCGTCACTTGTGTGACTGACATCTGGAACTGTCTTAGGATTCACTGACATATTGTGAACAATTTTTGAATTTTTTATTTTTTTTTAAACAAGTAACCTTTAGGTGAGACTTTTTTATACTTTATTTAGCGAACTCTCCGACCACCAATAATGGTGATTTCGAATAAAAATAACATTTTTTTTTTGCAAGTTAGCGAGCGCACCATCCACCACGAAAAATGAAAATTACAGAAAAGAAAGGTTTATTTTTTTACGCCCTCTGCTCCCCTGAAGTAAAAAAAGATATTCCTTAATTATACAAATTTATAACATTTACCAATCTCATTAATAATACACTATTTACATCCATCAATACAATTTTATTTTTGTTTTCTCCTTCGCCTAGGTGCTTTTGGCAAAATAATTTTTCTTAATAAGAAAACAAACTTTCTGACGATCTTTAGAAAAATAAGTTCACTAAATAAGGTATTAAAGTCTCACTTTAATAACTATTTATAATATTTACAATTGCGGTTGTCACTGGGTTAAGGAGCATAACTCGTATCTCAGTGTTTGTTGAATGATTATAATAGGGAAATTAGTCAATGTCACAAAGTACACTACAGACTATACCGACTCACCCCACTACCCTTTGCTAACACAAAATGTGTTAATTGACATAATTATGTTTCGCATTGTGGAGGCTTTTAAGCCGGGCACTCATTGCGTCGTACGACGAACCCAACTCCGCTCTCTGTGAGCGCTGGACGACGCGACGCCGTCTGCTGATTGTCGGTGGCAATGTGAACTGATCGTCAATGAAAACGATCAGTTGCGAGCGCGTCGTCGCGTTGCGTTCTTCATAGAATTTATCGTGTGTGCTCGGCCTTATAAGGTGAACTTTTGGGACAGTTTACGTATTTTTTGTTTAAAAGTTTACTTTATGTCAACAAAACCATAGGCATATGCATATGCTTCATTTTCGGCGTATAAAAAACAAATAATATTTAGCCTATCACCTCTGCGGTCACTGTGACTTAGACAATAAAAATAAAGTATATTATAATGATAGATTACATTCGAGGGCCTATGGCCGAAAACTTTTGTGTCAATTTTATTAAACTTTTGTAAATCTTATACCTTGTTTGAGCGTTTTATACAAAAAATGTGCCTAGACATTTCACTCAAATATATATATACACAGCATTGTTGTTTTCCAGTATTTTGCCTTTTAATCTATATATATATATATATATATGTATATATATGTATATATACATATATATATATAAATTAAGATAGCCGTTAACACTGTTAAATTATATATAAATCATCAAAGAAAGGTAAATTATTATTTTTCATTATTATTTTTGTTGTTGTTTATTATTATTGTTATTATGATTTTTATTATCATTATTAATAATATTATTATTATTTTTTTTTTCCAGGACCACAATGAAAAACATTTTTTTAAAATGATTGTGTCATCCTGGCTAAAGATATTAGTAAATAAAAATACAGTGTTTGAATAAAGGACGTAATAATACATCGTGTAGCATAGCTCTCAACGAGTAGTCCTGTAAATAAATGAATAAAGAAATTGTATAATAAAAAAAAACGTGAGGTCGCAGGTTCGAGTCCCGACAGAGGAATTTTTTATTACACGATTTCTTTATTCATTTATTTATAGGACTACATTCGTTGAAAGCTATGCTACACGATGTATTATTATGTCCTTTTTTCGATCAGTGTATTTACCTTCCTTTGGTAATTTATATAGGCTTATATATATATAATTAATTATATATTTAATTTTAATTTTAAATTGTTTTGCATTATATGGCCGTTTGCTGTTTTATGGGTTTTTCCCATTTGCCTTTCAAACGGTGCGATCGCACCCCATATTGTATTAAGAAAATAACTGTTGTATTGTATTGTTGATATATTATTTTTATCATTGAAAATATAGTACAGGTAAGATTTTAAAAGTATGAGGGTACAATTTCCAGGCACCTTGTGGTGCATATTCTCAGCGTTTTCTCACCTCAGCCACAACCATGGTGGGACCGAGGTGGTGTGGATTCTCACGCACCCCCTTACCGCCAAATCCTGTATCCGCCCAGCAAGTGGTCTTAGATCCGTAATGATACCGTACTGGCCTCTGTGGCCTAAACGGAATGACGCCCACCGAGATAGCGAGAGATTGCGGGTTGGATTCCCACCAGAGACCTTTTTTTTCATCAACTAAAAATAAGAAACTTTCGTTGATGAACTATGTTTGATACGATTTCATTGAGAGCTATGCTACATGATTATGTCCTTTATTCGAACACTGTATTTACCTTTCTGCGATGATTTGATGATGTTAGCGGCTATCTTGATTTATATATATATATACTTATATATATATATATATTTATATATATGACTACATTCATTGAGAGCTATGCTACATGATTATGTCCTTTATTCGAACACTGTATTTACCTTTCTGCGATGATTTGGGCCATAAGTATATATAGGCCTATTTATGAAGCCAAAAATATGCAATGATAGGTAAATTATTTAATTAGAAATATACGAATTTATACAGACTTCGTAAAACTGACTAAATCTTGTTTTCAATCTTCAACATTAAACTGCACTATTCAATACTCACCAATCATATTGATAAACGAATTTGAAACAGATTAACACAATCATTATCTCGAAATTCTGTTTACAATTTATAAACAAATTAAATATTTCATTCTAACGCATCTGACACATTTTTAAAATCATTAAACGTATATTGAAACTTGTTGATAAGAACAGCCACTTAAATCAGGTGACGCTGTAAACTTAAGTATACTTCACGACATTTAACTATACTTTGTACCTCTTGAAAAGTTTGTATCAATATTTCGTCCTCTCGACATTGATTTGGTTAACAATTATCGGCCAATCATTCAAAATATTAACAGATAACGGATAGTACCTGGGTATCGGAAGCTATCTATTACTGAGGCCATGTTAGGTTATCAGACTAATAGCGGCCACCTGTTAAATGTTGTACAATATATTGTACTTTAAATGATTGGTGGGCATTCTTGAAATTCTGTTTATTCAACTCTTTATTTAACGTAATACTTCTTATAGATAACATATGCATTACAAATAGTACAACTATTTACTTGCGAATATTGTTAACAGGTCGAAGAAGAAACACGATTGTCGGTCAGCGAACACAGTCACCTTTGTAGCCTCGTTGGCCAGACTGTCAACTTTGCCATTGATCAATAATCACTCGCTTATAAAATGATTAATGGTTAATGGTTTTCAATTTATAGAGCGCAAAATACAAAAACAGTCTTTAAGTGCTATAAAAGAAGTGATGGAACGAAAAACTAAGCCAGAAAATACTAAATAAAGTGAAATTTTAAATACACATCAATACTAGTACCCAAGCCGGGTTATATGGGGATACGCCCTCGTCGCTAACTAAGGTTCGATCTAATTCAACTCCGGCGGTCAGCACCAATTGACGGTCCCGGCCATCCCAGACTCGACCCGGGCACCTCATATCCTAGAGTTAAAACTATACAAAAACTAGTTGGCATGGAAAAGATAAGGAAAAAATAAATTAATGTGGCATGAATAAGTGGGTCTTCAGAGTGATGGTGACTCAAAAATAGATTTATTTCATTTTCATTTCATTTATTTATTTTCCAGATTGTAACAAACATCACAAACCTAGCACTATTCTGGCGGATTGTCAAAAAGCAAACAAATTCAATATGCAAAGACTCACCAATAGATAGAAATAGGTAACAAGTTCTTTGGTGCAGGAAACAAAAGAATAGAAACATGTACCAATCAATTTTCATAGAAATAAAACGCAATACCATCTCTCTTCTATTGAATATATCTGACCATAACATGGTTTCGAGAGCCTACCTGTACTTTTAGGAGTTCTCTGAGCGTTCGTCTTTTGTTTTTTCTTTCATACATTACAGTGGCGGATTCAGCAATTTGAAATAGAGGGGGCTTAAACAGGGACTTTTACAGATGGAGGCTCTATACTATCTCGGCCCACCATGGTTGGGGCTAAGGTAAGAAATTTTATGATTATGGCACCTCTAGATAGCAGGAAATGGCACCCTTAGATTTTTCTTTTTATATCATTTCTTTTTTTATTTTGAAAAAATTGAGGGGCCTCAAATGAATAACATGATAAGTTTATGTTTCCTCGATCGTGTTTGCTGATGACTTGCGAGATGGTCAGATGTGGAGTGAAAGCTATCTTTATGAACAAAAAGCTAATGTAAATGTTATGCATCACAGTTAAAATAAACTAGTTCGTTTAAATATATCATGCAAAACAAACCCTTTACATAGGCGTAGGCTGGGAGTGTGCGGGGGTGCGGACGCAAATTAGTCCCAATGAGTTGGTTAAAATATTTAAAATGACCAATAGGTTTTCATTGGAATAGGGATATATATG